ATGATACTTTTTCCCTTCTTGAATAGAGAAATATACATCTTGAGTGACAGTGACTTTTTGCCTCTTGCAGGCTGTACAGAGGGCCTTATGGATTGATTTGTTCTCCCAACTGGGAAATAGAAAAATGAAGACTTTATACCTGGCTTGAGGGCAAGAATCACAAAGTCTTCCCTCTTCCATAATACCGTCACATAGGTAACCCAGGATGATAAAGATAATACAGCCATCACACTGTGGTACACTAACAATTTACTCCTTGAGTTAATCCCTTGGCTTTAACCCTCTGTCAAGCCAGAGCAGCACACCAGAAGAAGGAGAAATTTGTACCTTCTGATAAATACCTGTGGATGCACCAGTTTACCACTTCTTTGCTAGTGCTTGCTAAAACATGCCTACACATGTGAGCTTAATCATAACCCCCCCATACCTGAATTCAGCTGACACAGTATTAAAGAGAAGTATTTGAAAACCTGTTTTAATAGATGTAACTCAAACACATGTTTAGAGAACTCCAAAGAAGCTGAGCAAAAATAAGTTTTATAAAACCTTGTTCCTATAAGTAAACTTGTAAAAACACAATCACTCCACACCAGCACTCTGGTCTTAACTTTAGGTAGGTCTGCATGGTCCTAGCACAGCAAAGTCCCACAGGTGACATCTCTGCACACAGCCCAAATCACGACACAAAACTCCAGGAACGATGGAGGCACTGACCAACATCCCCTCAAATCCAACACTCACAGCCCACACCCCACATGCTGTAACCTGAAAGCAACCCAATTTCCCAGGTTTGCATACACAACTAACTCAGCATAAAGGACACTGCTCCCCTAAATGCTCCACTTGGGAAATGTGCAAGTTTTGGGGAGCAAAAACATGGAACGAAGCCCACATGTCATGTTTGGCATCAGGAGAAGTCGTCCGGGAAGACAGGGGAAAGAAACAACATCCCTGCTACTGCAAGGAGTCACTGAAGGGTGAATAAACGTTTTTAAATACGACTGTCACTTACTTATCCAGGACGAAGTAGAGATCAAAGGCACCGTGACAGGAGCGCTGCTCTTCTTGCTCTCCCTCCTCCTCCGGCCGGGCGCAGCAGATTAGGCTCCCCATTGCCAGCAAAAAGCAGCACAAAAACGCCGCTTTCTCCACACTGCTCCAGCAACTCGCCATCTTTTCCCTTTCCTTAATTCTTCCTCCTCCCCCAATCTCTCTCTCTCTCTCTCTCTCTCTCTCTCTCTCTCTCTCTGCAAATCTCTCACAGTCACTTCAGAAGCACCGAGAGCAGAAAGGGGAAAAAAAACAACAGATCAAATCAAAACAAACAAAAAAGTCACTAACTTCAGGCTCTCAGTTCAGCCCTGAGAGCTCAAGGCAGCCCTGCCCGCGGGGCGCCGGACCGCTGGCTCCGGGCAGGGGGCTGAGCCCAGGCGGACGCTCCGCAGAGCCCGGAGCCCATTCCCTGCAGCCTCGGCGGCTGCCCCGAGCGCCTCGGCCCCGTCCCGCCGGCAGAGAACAGGCTCCTGTCGCACGGCCCAAAGGCAGGAAGGGGCAGAGGGAGGGGAGCGGGAGGAGGGAGACAGGATCTTATGGGGGCAAGCTGAACTGGGGCTTTCCTGTTCCGGGATACCGAGATGGCAAAGGCTGCCGCTAGCGAGGGACCGAGGTTAGGGACGCTGCCCGGCTCCGGCGGGGCACAGGGCGGGCATTCCTCCCTCCTTCCCCCTCGGACTGCCCTCGGGGCAGGACAGCGGGGAGCGGGGCACGGGATTCCGCCGCGGGGCAGGGAAGCCGGCCGGCGGCCGGGGCAGCCCAGCTACATTCCGGAGCATCGCTGCGTGTCCCGCTAAGCCTCTCTCCCGCAGGCTGGGGAGCGGCTGGGGCCCGGAGGTGTTAGAGATGAGGGGTGGCAGCGCCCAAGGCAGAAAGAAGTTGCAGTAGATGTGCGTCATGGCAAGGGCCTGTGACAAAGCAGAGGTGGGGGTACAATGCGAGGGGGCACTTAAGAAAAATCTGTTTGTAACTGAGTGCAATTAAAAAGATTATTGCTTGGAGGCGGGGGTAGGGGCAGGTTTTCACGGCCCTCTCGTGCCACAGCAAATTGTTTCTCTTCGTGGAAATCTTGGTTTACTCACACTGGAGCCTGAACACATCCTGCAGGCGATGAGTAATGATGAAACGAAATCTCTTAATGGAGGCTTTGCACAGTGGCATAATCACTCCCCGCCTGATACACACAGGTTACAAAGCGCTGCCCTAAAGAGATTGCCCAGCTCATCTGGATGCTGTCTCCAAAGTTTGAATAATTAGTGGCTTCCAGCCGCTTCCCCTTCCCCCACACTCTTTGCAGCCCCTAATTAATGGAAAGAGCCACGGGGAGGGATGCGAGCAGAGTCACTTCGCATGACAGAGTTGGGGCTAGACGTTTCTCTCTCGGGGCGAGGCTCCCATCGCCAGCCATGGAAGAGGGAATCCATCTCCTGTGGGGTGCTGGCGCTCTGTCCCACCGAGCACAGCCCCCCGAACACCCAGCGCTTTGCCGGGGCCTCCTCACCCGGGAGGCCGAGCCATAACGCTGCAGCCGGGAGTCGCTTCTACGTGCCAGCGGCAAAAAGTGACACCTCCTGCCACCGACAAAGGTGGTACCCGCGGGGGCACGGCCACTCGGGCGGGCTCGGGACGTGGGACGTGTGCGTTGTTTCCCCACCGCACACGGCAGCTGTGTCCTGGGCCCTGCCCGCTGCTCCCTGAGTGTGCGGCTCCGTGGGGAACGGTGGGATGCTCCACGCAGCCTGCTGGCCCTTCCCCTCCGCGCACGGAGGACACGCGTGGACACGGCG